TCTAAATACTGTGGCCAAACTGTGAGGAGCTTTGGATTTTATTCTCTAGGTACTGAGAATCAAAATACATTTATAGTCAGTGAGGTGTTGTGATTTGATTTTTGTAGATGCTACTGTAACATTGGCAACGATATTGAAATAGACGGGAGTAAGAAAAGACGAGAGAGGAGGACCATTGGTGAATCTGTTGAAATAGTTTAGGTGAGTGAGATACATGAAACTCTGAAGGAGGGCAGTGGTAATAGAAATAAATATGTTTTAGAGGACATTATTTTTGATTAGTGAATAAATAATATGAGTTATTTCTGCAAAGTTGAATTAATAGTTTAAATATAACAGGAAATTCTCTCTCTAAGACCCACTGGATTTCCTTTCATTCGAGTTCTTACTAGAATGTTTCAATAAGTTTATGCCTTTAGAATTTTTTGATAATCTTACATGTTCATTGGGTCATGATGACTAACACCTTCTTAACAACCTGACAGACACAATCTGTCTGTGTTATAATTATCTCCATGCAACACTAATTCATTTTTTGTCAATCAAATTCTATTTGATATATAATCAGTGTTTATTGATGAATATTGAGTTAACATTCAGAGTTAATATTATGAACATTTCTAAAATTTCACAAAAGAGTTAACTTTAAAAAAGAAAAGAATCTCTGATTTGGTATTATACAGGTTCAACTTTCCCAGGAAGATAATTATTTATTGTTGATTTTAAAATTAGACCTGTGATTAATTTTTAGGCACAGAGTGAAGGGAAAAGAAAGCTGACTACCAATAATTTAAGTATTTACTATCCTTGGTGATATTTGTTATTAATCTTTATTCCACATGAAAAGAAAAAAATGAACTGAACTAAACAAATGGGTTTGATGGAATTCCCACAATACTAGAAAATTTGGGTTATTCAAACAATACTCTGTGAACTGATGTCTTTCATCATGTTTTAGGCTGGTAAAATCACACATCTATAGGATAAAGGACGCATCACGTTTTTGTAGCTTGGCAACTCCATGGAAAAGAGGTAATCTTTCTAATTAACTTTAGCACATAAATCCCACAATGGCTTCTGATTGGCCCACCTCAGGTTAAGTACCCATACCTTACCAATCAGGGTATTAGACTTGAATCCTAAACCCACCCTTATAGTGGAGGTGAAAAAGGGGAGGGACACAGAGCCTTGTGAATGACAGTCCCTCCTGAAAGACATGGAATCGAGTGTGAATTCTACAAAACAAAGTGGGGTGCTGGTAGCAGAATAGCAAGATGTAATGGGCAGATAAAAGATCCTAACCATAGTCCATATGCCTGGATTAGATCATGTTTTTTTCCACTTACTAAGAGATCTTGAATAAATTACTTTACCTTGTTGGTCTTCAGTTTTCTTATTTATCAAATAGAAAAATCATCTCCCTTACGTGACTGTTATGAGAAGTTAATGAAATCATATAAGCTAATGGCCTAGCCCAATTCCTACCTCATGTCCAGCATCAGTAGCCTAATTAGAACAATTTTTAAGAGATTCACTGTGTTCTACTCACTGTGCTAGACACTGAAGATAAAATAACAAATGAGGACAGTTATAGTCAGTAACTTTAATCAAATAATCACACGAACACACGTCAGACTGCCACTGTTTTGTAAGTGCTACAAAAGAGAGGGAATTCATACTTGTGTTTATAATAAAAAGGGAGTTGACTGAATCAGAGGTTAGAGACAACCTGACTGAGAAAGAGAATATAGGAAATATTGAGTTAAGATCTAAAGAATGAGAAGATATTTACTGGGCAAAGAGGAGAGGGTTGAGCAAAGTGCTCTAAGCAGAAGCAGGGGCAGAAAGGAGGGTAAATGCAAGGGTTCTGAAATGGGAGAGAATTATGAGCAATAAATAAAGCCCTGCCTCTGGAGCAGTGAAGCACAGTGTGAGTCAGCTTTGGAGAGGCAGCGAGGGGCCAGACCCTGGAAGCCTGGAAGCCTTTGCAGTGGTATTTGCTTCTTTATTCCAAGAGCAATGGCAGCATTTTCAGTAGTGGAAGTTACATGATCAAAGAGTGATACGTCTCCTTCTCTTTTTCCACCTCCCCCAAAGATAGGAATGGATGGCCTCCCTCTGGTTTGACCTGATCAGACAATGCCGGTTTCAACTTAGGGTGCCATTTTTTAAAGAAGGGTACTGAAAACAACATATGTTGTAAAGCCACAAAGTGGTGAAGGAACGAGAGATGTTTCACGTACACAACACAAGACTTAGAAGAATTATTTACTAAATGAAACCTGTTTTGTAAACAACAAGAAATGCTAAAGCTCAACAGAAAAAGCTATCCAACAATTAGATTAACCCAAAACAGCACGATGGACCAACTAGCATTGAAAGTATGCAAGGAAAGAACTAGATACTCATGGAGAGACTTCCTTTCCAATGTAGTGAATGTTGAACTCCTTGCACCCTATAATGGGGGCCTACTATTTCTACAAGAAAAAAATTCCCCATGTCTCCTATTCACTTGGGGCCCCGACTCTTGTTCACTTTTAAGCAGCTCCTAGTTTTTTTCTGCTAAGGGACTGGATGCTGGCCTGTGTGTCTTCCCAAAGGCATACCTTAAAGAGAAGTCTCAGTCTTTCTGACCTCCCTATGAGCTTGGCTACAATCTTTGATTTGCATACTAGCTCTTTCTAATAATCCCTTTGATATCTGCTTTTATATTCTCTTGACTTGATTTCAAGTAACATGATTATACAGCAAAACTGTAGTGCAGCAGTATGAAGGAAGCAAAAGAATCGGAATTATGGAAGAGGAAGTCAGTGATAATGTAGCTAGTCAATGAACTGTGGAGGTGGGAGGAGGAGACAGAACTGAAAATAAGGGAAGGAGAGGGAAGGGAGAGCAGAGCAAGAGAGTGTACTGTAGGAGGTGAATATGAGTATTGAGATGAATTACTGAGTTGAATGAAAAGAAATTGAATTTCTGTTCAACTTCTGGCTCTTCCCAAAGTCAGAATGACCATAAAAGAAAACATTTTGAATCAATTCAGGACATCGAGGCAGCCACGACAGCACAACTAAAGACACTTATGAAAGAGGACTTCCAGAACTGCTTCAGAAAGTGGCAAGAGCAATGGGATAAATGTGTTGGAAAAAATGGGGATTAATGTCAATGTGTCTTTTGCTGTAATACATTAAAAAAAATTTAAACATTCACCATATTGTTTGATCAATATGTAACATATTACATGCTACATAGTTCAATTTCTGATAGGTCCACCCCCCTGGTTTCTTTTAACTTCATCTAACTTGTTAGGCCATTGCTTCCCACGGGTTTCATAAAATTAGTATGGTTAGATTGATGTATCCCAAGCTTCAATAATTCTTCCAACTTCATGGTTTTTGTCATATACACCTTCCTTTAGTACTAGTTATTTATTTAATGTTATACAGTAAGCTGACTTTAAGTTGACCCTTCAAACTATTTTCTAAGATACAGTTAAGCTGGAATCATCCGTTTGATATATATATATATATATATATATATATATATATATATATATATATAGAGAGAGAGAGAGAGAGAGAGAGAGAGAGAGAGAGAGAGAGAGAGGAAACAATATAGTGAATGTTTAAATTAAAAAGATTATAATTATTATAGTAAAGGGCACCTTGACATTAATCCCCCTCAAAATACTTCCCCTTGCTTCAAACACACTTACCCCACCATTCTTGCCACTTTCTGGAGCAGTTCTGGAAGTCTTCTTTTGTGAGTGTCTTTAGTTGCGCTGTCGTGGCTGTCTCGATGTCCTGAATTGTTTAGACTTTGGGGGAGAGCCAGAAGTTGCATGGTGCCAGGTCTGGTGAATAAGTTGGATGAGGACACACCATAATGTTTTTATTTGACAGAAATTGCTGTACCAGAAGTGATGTGTGACATAGAGCCTTGTCATGATGGAGGATGATTTATAGCACACTTTAAAACACACCTTCTCTCAACCCTAGCTCACACCGGACTGATTGCACTGAACAAGTTGAAACTTGTCACACAGAGTTACTAAGGTTTGATGTGCCACTTCCTGTACTGAAGATCCCTACCTTTCTGTTGGATGATACTCTGCAGCAGCATTTACTGTATTTTGTGATCACAATGCAAAGGCTCTGTGTCACACATCGCTTCTGGTACGACAATTTCTGTCAAAGAAAAACATTATGGTGTGTCCTCATCCACCTTATTCACCAGATCTAACATCGTTCAACTTCTGGCTCTTCCCAAAGTCAAAATGATGATGAAAAGTAAACGTTTTGAATCGATTCACGACATCGAGGCAGCCAGGACACCGCAACTAACAACACTTATGAAAGGGGGCTTTCAGAACTGCTTAAGCAAGTGGCAAGAATGATGGGATAAATGTGTTGGGAAAAAGGGGCATTAATGCCAATGTATTTTTTACTGTAATACATTTTTTTATTTCAACATTCACCGTATTGTTTGATCACATCTCATATATATATATGTATTATATATGTTACATAGTGCACATTTTTAAAAGACACATTTTAATTTATACGTGTTTGATAAAATATGCAAAATGTTCATCTGTGTATCACCTAAAACCATCTTGGGGACCTTTATAGTTATGCATGCCACACTGCTAAACCCTTGATTTGAGACAAGGTTATAGAGCCTATAGTAGAATCTGAAATAGAATCAATCTTCCTCAAACTCATTTCCCTTTCTCTTAGACCATAATGATACATTTCAGAAGTGCTTGCACTTGGCCTGATCCGTCCAACTTTTGGGATATTTATGGGGTTAATAATCTCGCTTCGCTTTCAATCTTAATTTCTAAAGAAGCAGCAGTGAACCATTCTGAAAATAGCAATACTTAGCCCTGAGTCAACAAGTATTCTAATTATTAAATATTCATTCACTAAATCGACTGTAAAAAAAAAAAATAGAGGGGTAAGACAATGGCCTAACTAAATCCCAGTTAAGCTTTTTTATTTCCCTAAAGCTGGCGGGTTGAATTCTTTGCTCCTCAGTGAAGTCCTCTCTCGCACCACCTTTGCATAAAAGAGGGAGTCCCGGCCCTCGCCAACACGCGAGGTATTTCGTCTGTCCGCCGGCTGTGCCAGGTGAACTCCTGCGGAGCTGAGAGGCCAAGCAGGGACTCGCCGAGCCTCGCCGGCAGAGCCAGCAGCTGCTGCAGGTTAAGCTTCGTCCTCCGCGCCTGGTGGCCTCTCGCCAGTACGCGCCAGGGGTCCCTAGGAGAGGGGACGCGCTTGGCCTGATCTGTCCAACTTCTGGGGCATTCACGGGGTACTAACTGCCCTCCCGGTCTCCCCCCGCGCCACTGCCCCAACTCGCTTCCCCGGGGCTCCGGAAGGGAAGGAGGCGTGTCTGCAGCAGGCGGGAGGGAGCAATATAAAAGTGCTGGCGGCGCGCGGGCCCGGGCTTAGCTCGCCGCCTCGCGCCGGGTCCGGGATCGCCGCGGGAAGCACGGGCGGTGGAGAAGGTGCTGCGCTCGGGCTGCCCAATGCGTGGACTATCTGCAGCCGCTGCTCGTGCAATATGCTGGAGCTCCAGAACAGCTAAACGGAGTCGCCACACCGCTGCCTGGGCTGGATCACAGCGCAGCCTTTCCTTATGAAGAAGACACAAGTGAGTAGGGCGCGCCCCGGCGCTCGTTGACTCCTCTAGTAAATCGCGCCCCGAGGCCGGCGCGTCCCGGCACTGGCTGCCTGGGAGCGCGGGGCTGTGCCCGCCGGACCTGCCAAGAAGGTGCGGGGGAGGCGGGTGTGGCGTGCGAGCCGGAGCTGCCCGGGCCGGGTGAGCCAGGGAGAAGAAGAGTGGGAGTGATGAGAGGGAGCCGGTGTCAACTTTGCAGCCGTTAAGTTAAGAGCTGTCAGTCGGGAACCGTAGTTGCTGTAAGAAGGAAGGACCTGCTCTTTGGCCGGAGAGTTTAACTCACCATGAGAAAGCATGTCTTTGCACGGGTGACATTTTCCCGTGGATTCCGGGAGATTACAGAACAGCTCCCCGTACGCCACTCTTGCTCGTTCGCTCGCTCGCTATCGAACACAGATTTCTGTGCAGGACCCAGGTGGGCGCGGGGCTGGTGGCCATGCGGGTGCAGGCCCGGGAGCGAATCCAACCTCGCGTTCCTTAGCCGCAGCGCTCCGCGTCCGCGGAGCGGAAACCTGTCCAGCCAGCAGAGGGAAACTTGGCTCCCAACGGCATTTGCCGGGTTTGCCGCTCTGGGTGAGCTCCCAGAGAGCTCTGGGGGGGAGGCGAGGGATGGGGTGGGGCCGTTAATACCTCCACAGTGCACCCACCTTCTTTCATTACAGAAGAGAAAGTTGTGTGTGTGTGTGTGTGTGTGTTTTAATGGGCATCTCTAATGATAGTTATTGAGGTAATTCCCAGTGCTGCTAAATTGTGCATTATACATAAACACTGGGTAAAGCACCGCCCAGAGGGGGTACAATTAGATCCCCCCCCCCTTGTGGCTTGTCGTATAGAAAGGGCCACCACAGTACTCCCTATCATAGTTCTTTTCACCACTGCAGTTCTCTCTCCTCATTTCTCCCCTTTGGAATTGTTCTGTGTAACTGTCGCGGGTTGGGTAAGGCTGCCCTTTTACCCCCAGAGGGTCTATAGGACATTGCAATTCCTGAAATGTGTCTAAAGGGTAGAAGTGTTGGGGGGAAAGGGAAATTGGGGGGTTGTACAAATCATCAGTTGAGATTGAAGACATCCATATGATGGGAATGTTTTATTAAATGGCCTGCTTAGTATCATATTTTAAATAGATGTCTAGGTTTGGGAAATGTACACATTTAGAAGGAAGTAGGAAGAATCGAGCCCATTGCATCCGTGTGGAAAGGGGCAGGGGAAAGGGACATTGCCTAGCAGAAAGGTTTGAGTAGTCTCTAGGGCAGCAGCCTGAGGACAAGAGGAGTGGAATGCAGATTCCTCTCTTGCAAGCACGCTAGTTTATAGGCAGAGAGAGCGTTGAACGCCACCCCTGGAATCACCACAGTGTGCTGTTGAAATGCAAGTGTTAAAGACTCTGGCAACAAAAGAGAAGTTTTAATGTAATTAATTGATTTGTACAAGCTTTCTGCTTTGCGGAATAATAAACAAGAGCAGGGAACCAGTTCCTTGCCACAGTAGCATCTGTTCACATGAACGGTAGCGGTGAGGTCTGGGTGGAGAAACCGCTACCTGCTACTAGTTCCCAGAGCCCGAACCTTCCTGTTTAAACAAGAAGAACACTGGAGACAGATCAGGTTAATGACCAACACTCCAAAGGGGGGCGATGTACTATCATGTCACTTTGAGAGTCAGTAGGATTGATGATCCTTGCACCCTTGCTTTGCGAAACGAATCTTCTGTAATCTCCTTTCCCACTTTGATTAAGTGGCAGTGTAAATCGGATTACATGGAATAATTCCATCGAAAACTAGAAAGAGATCAGTGTAGCCTGAAACGTTATGTGCTGCCGACCAGGGACATTTGAGACAGCTAAATATTTTAGAAATGTGACCTGCTCAGACCAAGTTAAAGTGCAAGCCCTTTGGGGGAACTTGCTAATGTTAAAGGACTTGCCGGCATAGGAGGGCAGTGCCCTTGTTGAATGAAGGCATTCATTGCCTGGGATCTAATGACCTTCAAGGTTTTCCTTAAGGATACTTCTAGCAATTCCACATTCTTGCCATTGAAAAGGGGGACACTAGAAATAGCATAAAATCAATAAAATAACCCATGGAAAGGGGGGAAGAGGGTTAGCTCCCCCTTCATATCGCTACATTTTCAAATCCAGAAGTTACAAAGATATTTTCTGGGCAACTCTGTGTGGGTGGAGAGGAAGTAGCATGAGGGAATCAGACACTAAGAAGTAAGCGGAATTGTCCTACCGAATCTAATGTTCTCCTCGCCAGGGAGGAAGACCTATTAAATCAATAGCTTAAATGGTCATTTATAAAGATGACATCAATACCAGAGTTCTATTTTAAGGCAAACAGTTCTGTGCTCTCCCATTACCCAAGATATAACATGAAAATTTAATAATAGTAAGAATAATAAACTTTAACTTGAATTATGCAGCAATCCAAGAATCACACGTACACCAGGTATTCTGGTTTTTAGTCCAGCTAAATAAGTGTGAAAATTCCATCAACAACCATTTGGGGTTCAATAAATGATCCTTTCATTTATGTAGCACATGTGATGGACTTAAGTATTTGGAGAATAATTACATGGACAATAGTCACGACGAGCTGTTGTGACAATAAATTTAATCACAAGTACACAGAAATGAATGCATTTTGCATTTTTCAGATTTCTGATTGCATTTCATTCATAGTGTGTGATTTTCCAGTTTCTGAAGGGAATTGTGGCTCCGGTTTAGAAAGAACATCTATTTCAATGTATAATAATTTATTTTAACGTAATACTCTGATATACTAGTATATTAAAGGACAATTGGGGAACAAATTTTGCAAGACTATTTTAAAAAGTGACAGCAGTTTAATGGGTTTGGCACCGTGTTTATTGATGTTGTACTTACATTTTAGTTTTGAAAAGGTTTGTGGGAGTTTTCCTGACTCTTGTCAGTTTTAGAAATACTATGAAAAAATTCATCTTGCAAACAGTGTAAAGAAGGCCATTTTAAGCATACATTACATTATTAGTTCTTGGGAAAAAAGCAAATAGAATGTTTGTTAGCTTTTGTTATTCCAAGGAAATATCCCTTTTTTGTCTGTGTGAAGTTTATCTGTAAGTTCATAGAAAAAAATCAACATTTATGAAAAGAGCATTTTTTTTAACCTTGTCCTTAAAATCACTCAATTTGGAATGTGTGCTTTGAATAATTCTATTTTGTGTAGCTTTTAATTGATACATACTGCCAAGATTTTAAAACTCAAGTGCTAAGTCAATTACATTTAACATAAAACAAGGAGAGGAACCATATGGAAATCTGAAGACCTGAGCCAAACCAATTAAAATTGCTAAATTTGATTTATGTCTAACTGCTGGTTTGAACATAGCAAATTGTGAGTCACATTTGTTCTTTAATGATATGTGATTGAAATCTTTCCATCACCAGAAATAATATTAAAAAAAAATCCCTGCCCAAATGGCTAGTCTGAATATTAGAGATTTTATGCATGGTCCATGGAATCCCATTCCATGCGCCCTTCCCCATCCAGGTCTAGGGAGCATCTCAGATGTAGAAGAAAGATCTTAGATTCTAATTCCTGTTTTACCACTGGTGAGATGAATAACCTTAAGCAAATGGTTAAAGTTCTTGGGAATTCCATTTCATAATCTGTCTGATGGTTATAAAAGTTATAAAGAGTATTCTCACACGGGTGGTTGTAAGGACTGAAACAAGATTTTATATATGTCTTTATCTAAGCACAGTGGCTTATGGTAGTTACAGTCTGAATTTATTGTCCCTGAGAAGAGAATTGCCTGCCAGCTAACTTACAACCTAGAGAAAAACTGGCTATTGCAGGTAAATGATGCTTAACCAGCAAAGCACAGAGACCATAAATCTGAATCTGTGGATCAGTGCCTCCTATTCAGGTAGGCTGATATCTGTTTATAGACTGTGATTAACACACATCCAACTAGGAATGTTTGAAAACAAAGGCTGTATTCTATATGTGGCTTGTGGGATGCTGAATTCTTTAAAGTTTTTCTTTAAAAGTGAAAATGAACGAGAGAATTATAATTGAAACTAGAAATGGAAAATGGGAATATTACCATCTCTGATTCACTTCCACAATGCCACTCTCTTGCTTTCTAAGTTCCCCTTGTATGATTCTGAGGGTTTATTTCATTTTAGACTGGAGACAGCTTCCTATTCCTGGTATTCTTGACCTTGATCTTCTGAGTGAGTCCATGCATTTATTTCTGCAGGGTGTCTTTATTGTCTTTCCCAGGCAACCTGCAGTGACTTTTTTTTTTCCCATTATGCAAGTTTGGGAGGTTTTTGTTTGTTTGTTTTTGTTTTTCTTCCCTTTTGTAACTTAGGGTAAGGCATTTGGATATAAATCTCCGAGGAGTGACCTTTTATCTTTGTTCTCTATTACATGAATCACAAACAGCTGCAGGAGACTGTTTTTTGGAGTAAGTCACCTGTGTAGTCTGAACAATTTATAAAACAAATTGAGGCAATGCCAGGATGCTTTTATGATATAAGCTGTTTTCGAGGTTATTTTGCATAGACTTTGTCTCATGGAAAGCTTTGACTGTAGTTTTACTGATTGATAGATGAAACAAAATGTTTTTTTGCCTTTTCACTTAATTATGGGTACACTAAAAGCTGTTTACAGGGGCTGGGAGTTTGCAAAAATTGTAATTATCCCATTTCTACCTATGCCCTTCTGTCCAGAAATAAAAAGGGAGGAGGGGGGGGTGATTTTCTTATAATTAGACCTCATGGTTCTTTTTTTAAGATCACAATGTGTGTCATCTAAAGGAAGATTGTTCTTTATGTAGCTCTCTTTGCCTTTGGGCTACATTTTCCTGTTTTTCTAGGCTGCCACATTGACTCGGGTTTTAGGGGATGGAGTTCTTTTATTAGCCTGGAGACTAAGTTGTATGACTTTGGGAAGGTATTTGAATTTCTCCAAACCTCAGTTTCCTCA